TTTGTACCATCGCAACATACATTTATACAGCCAGTCCCAATCCCAATCAGGAAATCGGCATGGCGGGAGTCCGTGTCGTGAGAGTATTGCGCCTCGTCTGCGGCTACCTTGTCTACTCTCTCTTCAATCTCTTTACATTCTCTGACAGCGCACATATGCAGCGCAACCCTAGCTTTGCGAGCGTGCAGACATGAGTCAACAATTCGGTATGAATCACTTGGGACTGACTGTGCTACTCATAACCAAACTCTACTCGAACCAAAAGATATTGCATTCTCTCAAATGATTTCGGTATCATCGCAAGACAAGGTACAACTAGCATAGCTCTGTAAGAGTCAGTCTCAATCGACTCGATCTTTAATTTTGAAGCCTGTGAAAACAAGTTATGTCATCTCTTAGCAGCTAATGCCGAAACAATTCGATTTTTCGGGAACGAGTAACATAAAGTTCTGCAAAGCTCGACAAAGCTCGGCAAACTCGTTAGGCACGTATCCGGTAGCCTCTTCACCTTTAAAATAGAACGTTGGTCGCATATCCGCAAAGAATGTTTTCAAATATTAGGGGATCGGTAAAAAATGAAGATTGATTTTTATTGAATTTTGAGATTTTTTGTTTCGATCAACAACAAGCAGGCTGCAACGTAAACGTCGCTTATATAAGCGACCTTCGCCTATTATTCTGGAAAAGCGTCAACGCTCCTCTCCCACATTTTACGCGTGGCGCCCTGAAGAACTCGAACAGGGTTTTTTAAACATCGCTCATTCTTGCGCTGCCATACTGTAAAGTTATAGAGCAATTGATAAACCATTCGAAAGAGCTCTTCACGCTTTTTCAAAAAAAATATTAAACATACAGGATTTCTTTCTATTTCTGGGTAAAAAAGTGAAATACCTGAAAAATCGCGATTTTTTGGCGCAACAAGAATCAATGTATCAAGTTTCAATCTGTATTTTTCGAAGATAGATAAAATTTGAGGTAATCCGCATATGTATGGATAGAGCGTAAAAAGCTTTTTCAGATGGTACTTGTAAAACATGCGTTCACCTGCAAGGAATGTAGCACGTATCTTTGTTCTCAATGCTGCTAATGGCCATTCTCCTACATTTGAAAGTTGAGGCCAGCAACCCATTGTGTATCCGGTGACTGTACCTTCACGCATTGCAGCAGTAGTACTTTGGATTCTGCATGTTTACTGCGCAGATACTGCCCGGAGTTTATAACTTGTCAAAGTGACTAACTTTGCATTTCAGCCACTATGAAAATCATTAGGTACGTAAATGACCTTATATAGTTTTTTTTTTCAAAGAGAATAATTTATTCCAACATCTATCAAAATCGATTAATTTAATCACTTTTTTTGAGGAATCTACATTTATTCTCTAGGTGCCCACTTTTACCGATCACCCTAATAGTTCAATCTTATTTTTGATCTGATGCATTTGCCTAACGTATGTTAGAGGCACGTGAGTGGGGGGCTACATGTTGCTGAAATGAGATGGTCCCAGGCGGACATCTGCAACAAACCACGTAGCTATGCTTGTTACAGACAATGCAGGTATGTACCAGCTGTCCGCGCGGGGTCTATCGGCGTCTCCTACCCAAGGCACGCCATATCTGAGTCCTGGTAGTTTGCCAGCTATTGAACATAGTTTTAGCGCTGTTTTGGATATTAGTTGCATTAATCGCGAGTTTTTATCTCATTACGATATAGTAAGATTGGTTTATCGTTCTAGTATGTCATCCATGTCAATGTGCTTTCTTCACATATACTTCTTTTGTGGCGCTGCGAAACACACCCATGCAGTCTCGCTTCGACGACCTTTGCGCGAAAAACAGGCTTCTACTGCAGGCAGATTTCGTTGGCATAATAAGTGTGTCAGTTCGAACGGATCACTCTCCGTTTCATTTCTTCAGCTGTCGACCACTCTAGGCCCTTTTTTCTAATTGTATTTCGGATAAATAAGATGCATCATGAACCGAACGAATGGGCTTTCAAGAACTTCTAATCCTTCCCTCTTAAATGCTTAGAGCTGGAATGAAATTATATGCAATATACTATGAAATCTAACTTAATTAATTGACCCCTGAAAAAGAGGTCACGTATGTTCTGACAGTACTGTTTCTTCGTTAACCTTATTTCCATCAGATTTATCAACTGTGTGGCCTTGAATCGATCACACAGTTATTTATATTTACAAATGTCCTTCCCAAATCGATAGCGGGAGAGTTACACAGAAGTAGCGGTATTCTTACTAAACATATATGCTTGACTGCTATACACATAATTTCAAATTTTGTAGTCACTTTTTGCAATAGCAAGAAAAAGCTTTTTGTGATAACTATGTCTAAGAACTCCGCTTGTGCTTGACCACTTGGATTATCGCATATCTCGATCTTTGGTAGCATATAGGACAAATTGCATACTTAGCGATCAAATCAAGCTCACGTCTAGTTAAGCTAAGACTGTTGTGCAAAAACGATAAAGCTACACAGTGCCCTCCGCATTAATCTGATATCTTGGGAAAAAAATTTAACTCTCAATTCCTTCGTCACCTCATGCAGGACAACAATATCAGTCTCCCCCCCCCCTCCTCCCCAAAAAAAATTGCAGACGTCACAGAATTGTAAATGATCCAATTTTTTTTCTCCATAGTGAGTACGATAAAAATGCGTTTCAAATAGCAATCGAAGTGTGCCCTACTCTGCTAATGATGTAGTTTCACTTCATTTGTCACTGTACTCTAAAACAGGCCCTGCAATAACCAAACTAGAAAAGCCTGCATTTGTGAAATTTTCACCGTCCAAAAAAAAAGGGATATACAGGACCTGGATTCTTGTAAAATAGAGTTGTTTGACACTAAGAAAATTGAACTTTTTGAATAAAATTATTTAGCTTTTTTTTGTTGGCGCTCAAAACTCTATGTTTCGAGTTGAGACTTTCTCTTTCACTCACGTCATGTGTGCAATGACTTTCTGCCCTTCTTAAATTTACTTTGACATCTTTGACCTTTCCCTCACAAATTACTTAAATAATCTTTTTTTATCGTGACGCTTGCTTTTAATTGCTCTCATTCTCAATCGTCTCGGATCCGCCATACTAATGAAACACTATCTGCAATACATTTGAAAGTCTGTACTTTGAGCAGAAGGTTTTTGAAATTATGCGAAGTGTATATCGTCACTTGCGTTGGACTTAAGTAGAGACCTGAGATTTCTACCTCGAAAGCCAAGTTTATGCTCCGCACGTGCATAACAGTACATGAGGTAGAAACTTTGAATCTCCTATTTGGAAATCTTATATCAATTTGCTTTTTTATGTAGCTCGTATGTTCTTGGACTTTGAGTTGAATTCTATGGTACTATGGTAACCCTATGGCACAGACTTTAAGTGGAAGTCTGTGGTCAACACGCCCCAATTGAATTTTTTTCTTGAATGTAGCAAATCTTTCGTCCAACTGATTTTCATTCCATGAAAGTCAATTAGCTAATCTCTTCGTTGCCCGTTTTCAGACTAGTTTTCCAGTTTCTTATATCTTACCACACCACATCTCCGCTTTGGCAAAGCGTGCCTTTACCCTTCCACTTCCGCATCAAAAGCAATGTCTTGACTTAAGCTCACTTGTCCTCTTCGAATTTTTATAGTTTTTCTTACTCATTTATAAAGAAAGTAAAGGTGGGAGCGCAATTATTCGTACTAGAAGCTTATGATCTTGGGAAAACAGCGCGCGTTGAATGTTTAGACTTCAGAGCTTGATGGTTAACTCAAAACAGTTCACGTTTTGTCACTGTCTGGTTCTTCATTTCATCAAATTCATTGCATTTTCCTATGCTCCATTCATATCTATTATCGCAGAGCGCACCAATCAAAAAGGTACTTGTTCTTTTTGAAGGTTTGGTCTTAGCCCTTCAGTTACCAACAGAGTTCGATTTTTAGACACATAATACAAGCGATTTGCTGTCGTCGCGAAAGAAGTTCAACATATCAGTTTCTCCGACCACGAACATTCCAAAAGAGGTTCAGCGATGCTCAGTGAAAGTGTCACGTGTTTTCTAAGCGAGTTCTGTGATTTAATTACCTAACCTTCTACGGTATGTCTTTGGGAATAATGACTCTCACATGAGTTTATCAAAAAATCTTACGAGTTCCAGTGTTATCTTTCTCATATTTTATTCGTACGCCATCAGATTTCGGTATCATTCTCGTTTCTTTCGATATCACCGTTCGGAAGAATTTAAAGGCAGCGGCTCGGCAAATCTCAACCTATTCAAATTTGCGCTTACCTGGGGTTTTTCAATACGCTGATCCCGAAAATCCACTTTCGAAAGCTTGAAAACCGCGAAAATGAGCATTTTTCAATGCCCTTCCCTTTGATATTGGACGAGTGGAGCAAGGCCGGTGACGCTAAATCGTGGCAGGACCCAATGGTTATAGCTTTGCGGCGGGCAGCCTCCACTGGTGAGAAGGAAATTGCCAACTCGTCCAGATGCGTGTAAGATTGGCCTGCGCGTGTAAGTTCGAGAGCGATTTTCTCGGTAGGGAAAGCATGCTGTGCAACCGGGATTGCACTATTTTTATAGTTGGGCGATAAGGAACCTACTGCGTAAAAATCCCGAGTTGTTGGATTTTGCCGATCCACTGCCTTTAGAGATATGATTTGGGCATGATCGTTAGGGCAAGCTAAAAGAACTCAAATTATGCGTGCTTTCTAACGTTAGTATATAGAATGTTATATATGCTGCCCGTAGCAAAAATATATAATGCTTTGGCTCGACGTCATACAATCTCTAACGTGAGAATTACATTGGTTGAATGAACAAAGGCGTTCAGACAAATAGCATCGCTACCGATCATTCTCGATTTTTGTCTTGCGCTTGGTAGAATGGTCTGGTACCTAGGAAATGGAGCCATTATATTTGTCTTATTTCTGAAACGCAATTTTACACTGAGCTTGGCATGAGCGGATCTACGCATATATTTTATTGACTAAAAAAATCAAGATGTGAACATGTGACAAAAAGGTATGGAAAGAACTTCAAAGCACCGCGAATGCACATATGTATCTATGCACAAAGATCACCACGACGTTCACGTTTGTCCTTGATATGACAACTCTTCTTTGTCCGTCAAAGCATTCTCGACGCAGATAAATGTCTATGTTGCCACTTTGATAGCGGTCAGAAACGAACTTTACCTTAAAAAATCGTATCTCGGCCCCAAGAAATCTTGAAAATTCCCCATTCATCCCAGCATATGCTTGATACATCGAACATTCAAATGTACACTTTTCAATTTTTCCTTGGGAAATAAAGAAAAAATGAATGGAAAATAGCAAACTTCGTCCTGGAAGTTCTGAGCTCCTCCCACACATGAGATCTCGTAGCTCATACATACAGAGGTACGACCATGCATTAATACCCTTTGTAGGTGCTCCCGTTCGAGAAATGCTGATATTTAGGGCAAACACGGTAAAGATTCTGAAACACCCTAATATTAAATAGAAAATCTCTATGATTAGCATCAAAACAAGTAAAAGTGAAGGTACAAAACACTGCCAGTTAGTACGAAAGATATCAACTCAAAAACACAGCTGAAGGGAGAACGAAGAAAGGATGAGTCAAACATAAGGTTGTCTTACAAGTCCTTCCAATTTTGAATTTTTACCGCGATAAGTAATGCACTTCTTGCTTTTGATTGGAATGCAGGATCCATTTGATAGAGCAAAGCAAGCCCTATAAGACGGCATATAAGCGTCCACACCCGCTCCAGTACTCGAGTCAGAAGCCACATTGGCAATGGCTATATGGCTAAAGCTTCTAACTCGCATCAGCGATGTATGAATGTCTAATGAGTTAGGGAGCCTCCAGACCGCGCCGAGACCGCGCCGGTTGTCGCTTTTGCAGCTGAAGCGCACTGTGTCAGATTTTGTCCTTGGAGCGTAGCCTATTGGCATTAGATGCTTTTCGATTTCTTCGTCATCACTCTTTTGTTTCCAAAGTTCTGTTCTTTGCTGTAGTAATTCATTGCAGATATGGTTCATTTGATCTGGATTCCTTTTTTCGGTCGTCTACGATGCTAAAAATATCGATTCATTGTCGAGTGAAACCGTTTTAGTCTGAATCCCGCTGTAGAGCTATTGCTGGATTGCAAGGCAAGGCCTTTTCGACGTCTATCTCGTTTTGAAACTGGTTTACTATGCTGGATGAGCGAGTGCGAAAATACTTTCTTTGTTTTTGAAGCTGTTCTATCGTGCCGTAGTAGCGATCTAGCTGCAGAACTCAAATTCTCTGTACTGTTTTGCTTTTGGTACTTCACTACGCTGACTAACTCTATTTCAAAGCAAAGTCATTTGGTGCCTTCTCCTTCTCCACTCAAGGTATATATCTTTATTTCAGCATAGCAAAATAGCTAACCTTGAGTAGTTGAACTTATATCAGTAAGTGTACTCAAGCAGTATAGTAGAGTAGCTTCAAAACTAGAAGTGCCAAAAACAGCGTTTTGCGATGATATCGTCCACTCAGCAGACCAACCTCAAATCGGTAAAGACATCGAGAAACCTTGCCTGCACAGCAGAGCAATATCATCAAAACGAAAGCTGTGCAAAAAAATAGCGTTCCGCAAAGATTTATTAGCTCCCAGATTTGTGTGGAGGCGGGTTGCGGGCTTCCCCTGATTTTAATGGCAAAGTTAACGTAAGAGTACGAAAAGCAATGCTGCATGAAGTTCCAACAAGTTCACACTTACATTCAGGGAAAGCCTGCAACCCGATGTCCTTAATATAAGTAGCATAGCTTCAAAACTAAAGACAAATTCAAAGAAACTTTGTTCTACGAAATCGATCAACTACCGTAAAAGAATAGCCTTGAAACGGATGAAAGACAAAACGCCGTTCATCACCTTTTGCCCAAAGAAGCAACTCTACAGCGGGAGGTAGATTGAATATTCAACAACAAGTCGACTATTCCAGCATCGTAGAACCTCCAATGAATCAATTGCGGAAAGAAGGCCAGGGAGAAGAGTGGTGGCAAAAGAATCGAAAAGCCTTGTATTTAGTGCCAATAGGCTCTCGCGACGCTCCAAGGACAAAATCTGACACAATGCGCTTCAGCTGCGATAGCGGCAACCGGCGCGGTCTGGAAGCTCCCTTGAAAGCCAAATTTCGAGAAGTTTTGGGTACTAAAAAGGTTGGAAAAATTTTTTATATCCGTCCAAAGAAAATTATCAAGCCTCCCACTTGCTCATGCGTATACACTTTGCATTAGCCATTCATATATGCCGTTGCTGGACTCTTTTTTGAATAGAAACCGAGAAAACGAAAATTTCAAGCTTTCAAAGAAGTGGTGCTGCACTGACACCACATAAGTAAATAACAGGGTATCTCATAATTTTACCGTTTTTATTCCAAATATCAGCATTTCTCGAGAACTGGGGCACTTACAAAGGGTACAAATACATGCTCTACTTTTGTATATCTAAGCTATATGATCATCACGTGCATGGTAGTCAGGACGTCTAGGGTCGAAGTTTGTCATATTACTCCATACAATTTTCTTTACTTCTAACCCTGGAAAAAATACGACAAGTGTACAACTGAGTGTTCGATGTCAAGCATACGGTAGGATGAATGGGGAATGTTTGAGATATCTCGAGGTGAGATACGATTTTTGATGGTAAAGTTCGTTTCTGATATCAGAGTTCAGCTCAAAACTTCATGTGGAATACGATTTAAGCAGACTTTTCATAGCAATCTTGTAAAGCTTGTTTTGCCTTGTCGAATGATTATTTTAGCCACATCAGTTGAAGGAGAGATATAAAAAGACGACTATTGCAGTAAAAACGGTAGAAAGTCAGGACACCCTAATACGTACGTAGTACAAATATTCCGATTCTTCTTACATAATCTCGATATGTTTAAAAAAACCACCACAACATGAAAAACTTCTATTGGCAATGTCCATGCTTGAATGATTAGAGGCTCAATAAGTAATTTTTTATTTATAACCTATAACCAGTGATAATTGATGCAGAGTTTGAAAAGCCATAATTATCTACCATTAGACTAGCCAGTCACTTTAGCAACTTACGCCATAAAGCCATCTTTAAATGCTTCGCTTCACTTCCAGAATGCATGTTATAACTCTCTCTCTTTTACACTCTTTCATAGCATTATCGTCTCATAAACCCTTACTTTTTGCCGCTTGATGGAGGAAGGAACCTCAACACACATTCACAACAGAAGCTGTCTATTAACGTGGACTTCACCACCTACATGCATACTCACTACTTCTTTCTTGCCAGTACTATTTCATCCGAACTTTCTGATACGTTGCTGCTTTCCTGTTAACAGGTTAATAGAAAAGCTCAAAAACTTGTATAGATTACGGCTGGGGAGAAATCTGATTCCTCATCCTTATGTATTTTCTTTCAAGATTACTTCTATCTTCTGACTCTAGAATCTCCCTCAATTTGCAGATTTGCATTTGCGTTGGATAAGCAAAGAACAAGCAAACAGCTCACTACTATGCGAGTAAAACCTGAGCGTCAATGACGCTAGCGCTTTAGAATAAGGCTTTGCAAACATGCTCTAATTGTAAGCTCGCTGGATTTGATAGTACAGCAACTTCTGTACTATCAAATCCAGCGAGCTTTCACTTTTCGTAGAAATGCTTGCTCTATAATGAAATGCTGGTCACATATAGATGGTCACAATCGCTTCAGCGTAATGTTGTTTTTCATAGGAAGTTCCACTGCTCAAGTAGTTTGATGAACCGCAGCTGTTGTTTTTCACATTAATATTTCACATGGAAAAGCTGTATATACAGGGTGTTTAAAATAATTCGGGCACTGTTTGAGCGTTATTAGCTCTTCTATCTTGATGTCTTCCGCCGATTTTTAGGTACCAGTGCTGTAGTGCTTTCGTCATTGTACATTATGGTATGAATTTCCAGCATAAAGGCAGTGGCTCGGCAAATCTCAACTTACAAGGGAACCGTGTCGAGTCGAAGTGGCCTTTGATGGGACCCATACTGCTTTAAAGAGCATTAATCGGTGATTTCAAATCTGCTCTCCAAATCTGCCAAGCGCCTCTGGACGCCGAGTTATGCTCGTTTTTCAGGTCAAAAAATTGAACGCAAAACTGAAGCAAAATCGCCCAAATTTGCTCTCAAATGGTCCAATGTCAAGTACCAGAGCTGTTTATGCAATGGATACATTTTATTTATTATGCTAATACTTAACATTGCTTTATCTGAGAGCTGGAAAGATTGTAACAATCAATTTTACCTAAATTCTGCATTCATTTTTCGTTCCGAAGAACGGTCATAACTCGGCGTCCAGAGACGCTTGGCAGATTTGGAAGGCAGATTTGGAATCACCGCTTAATACTCTTCAAAGCAGTATGGGTCTCATCTGGAAAGGCCACTTCGACTCGACACGGTTCCCTTGTTAGTCAAATTTGCGGTTACCTGGGGGTTTTCAGCACGCTGATCCCGAAAAGCTTTCACTTTTGAAAGCTTAAAAACGGCGAAAATGAGCGTTTTTCATCGCCCTCCCTTTGTTGGACGAGCGGAGCAAGGCCCGATGACGCTAATGCAGGACCCAATGGTTATAGCGTTGCGGCGGGCAGCCTCTGATGGTGAGAAGGGAATTGCCAACTCGTCCAGATGCGTGTAAGATTGGCCTGCGCGTGTAAGTTCGAGAGCGACTTCCTCGGCAGGTAAAAGCATGCTGTGCAACCGGGATTGCACTGTTTTCATAGCTGGGCAATAAGGAACCTACCGCGTTAAAATCCCGAGTTGTTGGATTTTGCCGATCCACTGCCTATAAGCGAAAGAGGCCGTCTGAAAAACTTTTTTCAGATATTGAAATTCGTGTAACTAGGGTTTTTACGCATGCTGATTCCATAATAATTACGAGTGTTTTCAGCTTTTTGACGACGTAATCACATTTTCTGACAAATGTTGGAGAAAAGGTTGCTACGGTTTACCTGAAATAACATAAAAGTTTTCAATTTGTTATGTTTTGTTTCCTTGAAACACAACTGTGGACGCTAACCTCATTACAGCTATGACAGTGCAATCGTTGATTAATAAAAATAGGTTCATAACTATACGAACACTCCATATTGTGCAGTTTTCCGAACCTTTTGAGAGAATTGCAAGGATCCATTATTACGATATGAAAATGCATAGTTGAAAACATTGTATGCAAAGCAAAAGTATTATTCGGTGTCAATCCTGGAAAGGCGTTGTACGCCGCACGCTTTCTTGGCCGGTTCATAATTATAGGAACATCCAATTGGAGCTCTTTTTCGCGTAACGCTGCAACCTTTGGCGTTCAAACTTTCATGCTAGGCTAGATCCCACAGCTTAAGATATCTGCTACTGCTGAACCATAATGTTTGAAAGGGGGTACTGTACTCTCCTTCATAGTTCGAAATGACGCCGGACCAAGTCGGCTCCAAAAATGTCTGCTTTATCAAGATTCGAAACCTTTACACAGCTCATAGGAATAAGAGATAAGATATCGTTAAGTGCCCCGTATAACGTTCAAAAATTGTTTTTTCAATCGACTTAGTTGCCACAGTGCGATACCCACCCTCGATAATCGCAGGGGGTAAGCGACCATGCGATATCTGGGCAAGCGGGCACCGGAAAAACAGTCCGCTGATTTTTGCTGTCTGCTTGCAGATTCTCAAAAGAATGTTGGACCATTTTTGGAGGAAACGTTCGGAAAACAATCGCCGCTTTTCATATATTATCGGCGGCGCAGTGGCCGCATTCTCGCAGACTTTCCGCGACAATATGCAAAATTTGAGGGCCGTACGGTCCTTTGTGATGGGCCGCACAACCCGTAGGTACCTCTTAAAAGAGGGTACCTCATACTTGAGTAATTAAAACAACGATGAACCATCCTCTGCTATGTAGAGTGCTACCTTTTCTCGGCGTACGCCCGAAACTGCGTAAAAAGTGTCCGAACACTCGCTGGATTTATGGCCAGCGCTCGCTAAAAGAAATTATTTGACGAGCGCTCTCAGAAAACTCTGTATTGCTTCCCGCTGGCAAAACATGCGACAGCAAAGGAAGTACCACCCTTTGAAGGTTTGACCACGCCCCAAACTTCTGCTGACCTGCAGAAAAGCGCGAGTTTGCGGACCGCCTGCCCCGGCGATTATAAGCCATAGGGTTGGTTTGAGCTACAAAACCCGACTTCTGCCGTCCGCAAGGTTCTGTAATAAAGCATATGCATCGTTTTTTGACATATCTGTGTTAAAGTCCGTGAACTCCGCATAGCTATCTCCAAAGCTCCAAAAGTAGAAATCAAAGGCATGCTGGCGTTGATTTGATTTTTCAATTCCGGATGCCGAGTGCTTGGTGAAAACAAAGTGCTCTACGCTTGAATTTTTTCATACTAACTACAAAATCTTGTACATCATACACAAATAAGTTTGCGATGTTTTACAACATCGCAGAACTTTTGGGACGGCAGATTTTAAGAGTTTTGAGGCACAAAATTTGTTGTTGGGAGTTTAGGACTCGGATGGCAACTAGAATGATTACATCAATGATTTTTGAGAGCTAGACAGCACATTTATCGATCCCTTATCCTTTTACGTATAATTGCATTGAGGTTTATGATCTCATTAAAGCAGGCATTAAGCCGACTTGGTCCGGAGCAATTTCAAGTTATAAAAGGAGTTCCCTCTTTAACTCAAATTCAGCGCGAGGTGGCTATCTGAAACTTTGAGATGGTAGCCTTGCATAAGATTTTGAAGGCCAAAGGATGCAGCATTAAATGAAAAAAGATCTCAAATTTAATTTTCCTATAATTATGAACCAATCAAAAACGTGTTCGGCGCATTTCCAAGATTGACACTGAATCATGATTTTACGTTGCGTACACTGTTTTCGGCTGCGCCTTTTCACATCTTTTTCTGCATTTCTTTCAGAAAATTCGGAAAACGGCAGTCATGGGATGTTCGTATAATTATGAACTGATCTTTATTTGAGCAAAGCCTTCTACAGGCATGAAAGTGCATAAACGGTTCTAATATTCCTCAAGTTTCCCGAAATTGTTCATAATTCCATTCTCTTTTATGCGCATAGGCCCCAAATTTGGAATCATACCATTACTTGTCTGCTCCAAACGAGTCTATTGTTCATCGCTTATTAAATAGAGCTGGAGATGCTGAACTAAATTAATACGAGAAGGCTTTGGAAGATCGCAAGTACCGATGTGTAGACATGTGTTGCATCGCATCATTGATGGAACGCATATTGTACGTTCACTGTCGTGAACCCATGTTGAATTCATGCATGGAGCCGGAAAAGTATAACCTATTCCAAAAAACACAGCAAGCAATTGGCAAAGTTTGCTTGAACTCGTGCGATATTCGATAAGCTTTAAAGAGTACTTTTGAGTGTAACTCAGGAAAGACGTACAGAAAACAAGGTCTCCTTCAAAATGAGATTGCGCTTTAACTTGCATCAGCTTTCAAACAATTGCTGTTATGCTACTCTTAAACCAATCAGGCATTCACAAATTCAAGTTTTTGTGGTTTACAAGGTGAGAATTTGCGATGTAGCGCAACTGTGGCGATGAGCAGTGACCTTTTTGATAGATGACCTTCTTGTCAACTTCGCAAAATTCGTACGGACTGGTGTGCTTGGATAAAGAAATGATGCCATCGTTCGAAACAAAAAGGAAGTGACAGATTTGGAACATGAGGACTCTATTCTGTTGCTATCGCTGCTCTGTGGGCTCATGTGTCTTCTTTACATTCTTCGAGATCATGCTGAGACGGAGAATTTTCGCTTTTGTTAATTCCACTCAAGAAATTGCTGACGAAATGTAGATTATTGTAAAAATAAATACCAGAAACCAAATTCTCATTTACTCGAAACCAATATTTTTCGTGAAACTTCATAAAAATTGCATGTCCTTTACACCATTTGTCACGCTAGTTGCTCGATAACGATTCGAACACTGATTGCTTCAGTTCTCGTGTTACGCATTTGATTTTTCACCCCTCCGCTTCGTAAACTATTAAATCTACACATTGCAGATGAATCACCGACGGCGATGTACGTCTAGCATCAGCATTTTCATACTTGTTCACCTTGCCATTTTACGAGAAGCAAATTCGTTCTCTCCATTTTTTCTAGGACCAGAGTGTAAGTTGTAATTGTCAGATTGTAACAAAGCGATGCAGTGTAAAACCCATACGTTTTGGAATGCAGGATTGTAATATATTGAAACGCATATAGAAATCGTTAAGTCAATTTTCTATAAAGCTTTGTCACTAGCTCAAAGCAGAATGAAACCAATTCTCTGGAACAAAAATCAGCTTAATGCGCAAGTTCAACTTTTTATCATCTTCAAACAAAAACTTCTTATTGTACTTGTTCAAAATTTTCAAAAACGAAATTTGAGGTGAAGAAAGATGATTTAGCTAATTCCAGCATTGTGTAGTACCTATCAACTAACATTAGCATCTTTTTGTACAAGAAATAGGAACTAGATACAATTTAATTTTCTTTAGTGAATGGAAAGAGCGAATTGGAAGATTATGCTCAAATTCTGTCCAATCTGTTCTGTTTTTTCGCCAAAAAATAATAAATAGCATTCTTGAAATGTCTGGCATTGATTGTTTCCTGGAAGAATGAAGAGAACATTAACCGCTGAGTGTTTAATTTAAGCCAATTACTTGGCAAACAGATAATTTCACCTTGATCTCTTTTAGGAAATCGGCCTAATGCGTATGTCAAAAAACAGCCCACCCCTCGTATAAGAAATCGTACATTGGACAATTCTAGATTGACCTTCGTCAATGATAGTCTTTCAAGGACTTTCTTTTTAGTCCGCAACACATCGTTCGTAAACGAAGGGATGAATGACAGATTAGCTGAGATATGTGGACGATCAAAGAGGATTGGCGAAAGAGAATACCCGTGGGCGGTTTCAATTATGCTAGAGGTTCCAATTCATAACTTTGTCTACATTGCCTTCTTTTCGCAGAAGAGGAGTGAAAATTTTTGCTGACCCTACCTAGTTATGTAAAACCTGCACTGTAACAGCTGACAAGTTTGTTAAACATAGAATATTTCTGCATTCCTTTGCAGACTATCTAAAGAGAAAAGCAAAATTGAGCTTAGCAAGTGTACCGATAATGTAGTTGCTGCGCTCAAATTTTGCTGTAGTAACGTTTTCGACAACAATATGTATGTGCGAGAGCATAATTTATAATATGAGGTAATAGCGATGCTTATAGGAGTGGGCACAGCCGCAAAGAGAGAAAGACCTAAAAGCAGAGTGGGGGAGTTGGTCACGGGCTAAACAAAACATGTGCCGGACAACCTTCGTCTACATGTTTCTAGCGCTCTAATTCTGCAATGTAATCATTTATATGTCGCAACCACTGAGACAAAGTCGCACTTAGTTAGAAGATGCCAGCGTTTTTCAACAGTAGAATGTTACAATGCTGGGCATGTCTTACAAAGCAGCTTCAAAAATGATCTGGCCGTATCTCATGACGATGCAACAAATTCTCTGATCAGTTTGTAGTTAACAAGATTTATTGACCCGGCAGGTGTGAAGACTTTTGCTAGGATATTTGAGATATGATCAAATCGTATCTCAAAAAACGAAAAGCAAGATTTGAAGTGCATTTGAAGCATTTCAGCCATCAGAATGAGGAGATAGACTATCACACAAAACGTGGAAGTGTACGGTAGTATATAGCAGGAACGATTTTTTGGAAAAATGTAGCTAAGAAAGTTAGAAATTTGGAAGTTTGCTCTTTGGTATGCTAAAGATGGTGTTTAAAGGCAGTGGCTTGGCAAATTGCAACCCACTCAAATTTTCAAATTTTTGCTGGGTTATCAATACGCTGATCCCGAAAATCCACTTTAGAGAGCCAGAAAACGACGAAAACATGCGTTTTCATATGCCCTTCCCTTTGAAGTTGGACGAGTGGAGCAAAGCTGATGTGAATCGTTGCAGGACCCAATGGTTATAGCATTGCGGCGGGCAGCCTCCAATGGTGGGAACGAAATTGCACACTCGTCCGGGCGCGTGTAAGATTGGCTTGCTGTAAGTTTGAGAGCAGTTTTCTCGGCAGGGGAGGCATGCTGTGTAACCGGGATTGCACTGTTTTCGTACTTGGGCGATAAGGAACCTGCTGCTTTAAAATCCTGCGCTGTTAAGTTTTGCTGATCCACTGCCTTTTAAGCTTCGCGTGGGGCGGGACAAAAATTTATCTTTTATATCTTGGGCTGGAATAAGAGGAGGAAATTGGGAGTGGAAAGATTTGCAAAGCAACCAGACTTCTATTCGCTTTTTATGTGCGAATACTTAATTGGCAATGCTCTTTCGAGACTGTAAACGAACCCTCCTTTATAATCATCATAAAATTTCACCTTGAACTGCTCCCTTTTTTGAAGATTCTTTACAAAGCACTGTGATAGGTTATCAAGCAGGTTATACCAAAGAAATAGTTTTCGCACAGAAACAAGATTGTGTGTAAACTAGAAAAAATCTAAAAAATTAAAACTTTCCTTTATGATCGCGCTTTACGATGTGCAAGCTATCAAAGTCAAAAAAGAATTGTTTAACGCGTTGTTTCTATTCACAACTCATTCACAACTGATGGTGTTTTCGTCAACGCTACTTTGGTCATAAATATGGAGAAATGACTCTATTAACATTTTCTCTATTTATACGAGACCACCAAACTCATTTCGAACGATAAAATGCCAGAGTCAAGACGTCTCGTCCCCAAAGGCCACGACTAAAAGTTAGAGCTCACAAATAGAGCTATGGTTTTGTTCGCTTTTGTGATCTGGGTGCAAGACTATTTGTGCGAAACACAAATGCTTACTGATCTTTTCGCAAGGTTCAAGCATAGCGTATTTTCATTTGTTTCTCTCATTGTAAGATAGCAATATTGACGCTTTGCCACCACATATGTTGCCTACTTTATACCACCTCACGGCAGTTGTGTCATGAATATTGTATCGCATCAAAAGAAATCGGAGCGATTTAGAATTAGTCTACCATTATGGGCTAGAGCATTCGTCCGTACGTGTCAACGCGGCAGCTAAAGTACAATTAACTCATATATCACTTGATCCACCAGCAAACTTGATTGATTATCCAGGTGTGGCAAGTCTCAGTATTTAGAACGGTGTGAATCGACTGGGAGGCTCGATCATCTCACCATATCATATACTCACAGTCGCACATGGATTTATGAATTTTCATGGAGGTGATGAGCGACCTTGCATGTGAGTCAAATTCCAATTGCAACGTTTCATAAGTCTACGGGGTTTGTTTAATAGCTCATCCAAGTAGAAACGTCTCTGAATTATCACAATTTAGTTGTAAGGCTGAGTTCGTACTGATCCGAAGGTACCGGAACAGTTCCGCACAGCGCTCGAACTGTGCCGGAGCTGTGCTGCTTTCCTGCAAACTTGTCTGGTTGCTTTCCTGCAACCAGACAATCGCTGGGGGCAGGCGGGCACCGGAAAAATAGATTGCTGATTTTTCGCACCCCGCTCGCGGATTTTTTGCAAATTAATCAGGACTTTTCGGAAGACCGCTTGCCGAGTCAGCGGATTTTTGAGAGACCGCCTGTTGAATTTTTTCCGCTCTTATCTTTTGCAGATGTATTGCTGAATCTCTAAGGAATCAAGAACTCAGCAAGCGGTCTTTCGAAAAGTCCTGATTGCTTTCCAAAAAACCGCGAGCGGCGTGCGAGAGATCAGCAATCTATTTTTCCGGTGCCCGCCTGCCTCCGGCGATTGTCTGAACGCCCGCATGTGGTTTTTAGCAGCTGGAAAAGCATTTCGACTTTTCTGGCCGTTTTCACTGCAAATTCCGTTCATCTTCGTCTCATTCTTGTATGTCGCTTCCTCTTTTGATGAATAAGTTCCTATTTAAAGCGTGATATGATAACGATCGCTAGTTTTGTTGTTGAATGAAACCTATCTCAAACTGACGCTTCCATTACTTAATATCGTTCAAATTTTATATTCCCATCAAAGGCGGAACGTCAAACGAGAACGAAAGTGTAAGCAGTGTAGTCTGTGGAAGGGGTAAAACACCTAAGAACCCAGTTTCATAGAAGCACAAGGAAAAATCTGCGATCTTCGCTATTGCGAGGCGCAACAGTCTTGTCCAAAGAAACTAGCTATACCGAAGACACGAAGAGCTCGCGAAATAAAAAAAATGGTTTCTGAGAAAAAATATGTGGAGGGGAACGGACTCGCTGACACATAGTTTGCGCAAAACTAAACATGAAAAAGCGTTCGTTATCGAAATTTGCTTCAAATTCAAAATTCGCTTTATCATAAGAAGAAGCAAGGTCCAGGTTTGAGATGATTACTAGCAAAATTCACATTGAAAATAGTCAAGGAAAGTCAGAAACTGTCAATTCCTACTTTAAATCCGCATGCGGGCGACACCGCATGCAGCACAGTTTTGGCACAGTTCGAGCGAGTCTGGAACAGTGCTGCATGTTCCGCAACCTGCGGATCAGTTTGTCAATACGTGACTCCTGACACGTATTGACAAGGTAGTGAGCAAAAGCTGCACACTGCACACTGCAATGCAACTGCACCCATGCAGTTGCAGCTCCTTCCCGCTGGCCTGCCGACGGGGACAAGCAATTCAAAACTCGTCCGTGCCCTCAAGACTGGGTCCCCAAGAATCGGGTTTTTTGTGAATTTGAGAGAGTTTGAAGTTCGGAACTGTAATCAGGGTCACGGAAAGGCCCCAGAATGACGAAAACATGGGGAGCCAAATTCTGGGTGGACGCTGCCTTTAAGAGTAATTTTGATTTTAGTAACAATCGAATAGTCTTTTTGTTTGTGATTTTAAGGATGACGGTATATCGCCCACTCGTCGAAATTCGTTCGCGCATTGTTGGCTATGGAGGGAGGTGCATTAGAGGATACAGTGATGTCTTGCCGAATCATCCCGATTGTCCCGAACCGGACGTCACTTTCAATAGAGTAAATTTTTCCAAAATTAGCGTTTTGCAGATCGACTTGCAGCTAGTGCATTTTAGATAAGAAGTGTTCTAATAGATGAAACCTTTGTGCGACAAGGATGTCACCATGGGCATGACTGGGCGATCGTAGAATTAGAAGAAAGGTAAAGCAAACAGAATGTTTGTCAAATTACATGTCACTTTCTCAGCGACTGCAGCGTCCAAACCTGTTTGAATTGCATTACTTTTAAGAAGCGATTCTTTTGTGACTTGAGTTAGCTGCAAGAATATCACCTTTCTTGATGGTAAAGCGCTCTCCTTCTCTTCACAAACATCCGCTTGACATTCGCTTGTATCACAATGTAATTCATTGCAGGATTGAGTTTACGGATAAACAAAAACCGATATGTTTACCTCCGCCGAGTTTGACTGTTGAACCAGTGATTATTACTGCCGGCTGGGGAAGAAGCTACAGTAGGTCAACAAGTGTTTCAATTTAATCGCAACCAAATTTGCTCAAACTCCTCTACCTTCTTCGGTAGAGGGTCTTTGTTACACTTAAATCGATTTCTGTCTTTAATGATTCGTTGAAATTTCTAGTAAACTTTCTGTTACTTGTTATGCCTACTTGGTTGTCATCGAGTTTAAAGAAAAGACCAAACTGGCAGATAATTTCTGCATAACGAATTCTGCTTCACATTTTTGAACCCCAGCTCCTTTTTGAGTGTCAGCTGCACTGTATTATTCGATCGAGCAATCCACAGTTGTTTCCATACAAATATGACATGTATGCAGGAACAATAACAATTGGTTCCCAGCATCAAAAGACCACATATTGCAGTCTATTGATACACTATACTTGATAACGACAGATTAACCGCAACTTCTCAAGGTCAGAGTATACAGAGTATGCCAAAATTATTTGCCTCAGCTTTGCAGCAGCGCCACAGAAGAGCCACTTGAAGTTTTTGACCTGAAATTATGCCCCACAAGCTGTCATCACTTTTAAAAAGAGTCTTATGAGCTTAATGTGATTACCATACATTTCTTCAAAACTGAATTGTCGAACTTCTGAAAAGTGCAGATACTAAGTTTTTTATACAAGTCAGTCGTAACTGGATAATCTTAGAGTTTTTTGCAATTGTTTAGTGTTCACAAAATGGAGGAGACTTTGCGCTTTGAATACTAGTAGCTGCATTCATCAGAAATTACTTCCTCAGAAATGCTGAATAAAGGTCTGACAACGTCACTTGCATATGACTGCCATTTTATCTAGCATCTGGATGAACATCTGTTACAAGGTTGACGAAATGGGAGAATTTCAATTTGAGATCTTATTTGAGGGCCAGTCTTTTGTCTTTCATTTTCATCTAATTTGTACACTTTTTCAGTGCGCGATATACACAAAGTTAGTCAAGTTTTGATAACTTTCTTGAAATCTCCGGATCCTTAGTATGCTGTAACTAAAAACTTGCTTTATCATGATGCATGGTTTTGGAATGACAAGAGCAACTTTTGTGGAGACGCAAAACAATTTGTGAAGGTTCACTTGCGTGCGCCAACTTTGTCTGCAAGATATTTTGTGATTTTTCTGAAGCTACACGGATTTCAAATCGTAGTCTCTTAATGGTGAAGCAATCTCAAAAAATAGCTCATTATTTTAGAACGAGCTTATCTCTTGCGAGTTTGCACTGCAAAGTACACGCGCGAGTAATTTTGCACATTTTCACTTATCATTATTTTAAGTAGTTCACGATACAACCAATAGCTTTCATAAGCATGTGCGGACTCGTGTTATAATTGTAACGTAATGCTATCGAACGCATTACTGGCGTACCCATGAACCTGGTGATTGTGAGAAGGGCTTTCATCAGTTCATATGTAATCTAGTGTGCTCATCGAACCATGAAAACCTTTTTCCCAGTGGTTGACATGACATTGAGTAGTGCGTCTGCGTAACTCTAGTCACTAAATTTATGAAGTATCAATCGATTATTCAAATTATACTATTCCTTTAATTCATAAAACTTTGAGAACTCGTTGTGTCAGCTGTCGATGGGATAGCACACCGTTAAACAACAACCGTTCAATATTCGTAACCAATTCAACTGCAATGTCAACGTATTGATCTGCTTTCATATGTTTCATAGTTCTAGTCAACTATCTAAAGAACGATAGAAGTACAAATTTCATTCATTTTCAGTCTTCAATGAAAGTGGACCTTTGATACATGAAATTCCCATGGTTGTAGATCCGAAGTGCGATAGACCAAGAACAGATAAGGTAATAAGCTTTTTCAAAATGCATCGAGTTGCCATCAGTATCAATACCTATATCAATAATTTAGCTGCCAAGCAAAGCTGCAGACTATATCTGTGCTACATCAATGGACATGGATGATTATTTTGCTCCTAGGACATGTCATGTTGGTACCATTAGTAGCTCATATTTGTACTTTATCATCCAGCAAAACATTTTAGGGTGACAGCGGAGCAGGCATGGAACAGATTGATGAACGTGGAAGGAGTATACTGGTGGCTCTGACATCGTTTGGCACAAAAGGATGCCCGTCTAATGAGTTAGCAAGGCATGTATGTGGAGTGTACCACCCAAAGACTAATGGCTTTTTTTAGATTCACAAGAGTAGACCATTACCTCCAGCCGATCTGCGCACATACTGGAATATGCTATTCTTATATCGGAAGAATTATCAGACGATCATCTAACAATCTGTAGTTTACGTTCTACTAGACACAGTTGCAATCTTAATAGTGCGGAAGTTGAGGACTGTAGATATTGAGATTGCGTATCTCAGCATTAGTGAAACATGCAACAATTTCTAAACTTTATTCTCCCCGCCTCATAGCACTTGTCAACATGTTTGTCTGTTTATTCGCCAAAGCCAATTTTAAAAATTTTTATAGACTGACCTTTTCTTCTGCAACTTCTCAACCTCTTTTATCTGTAGAAATTGTACAGCTCTTTTGTCCAAATGCATAAGCAAATTGTTCATTTCCCGAGTAACTCTGTCGACGGGTTCTAATAAAATGAAGAAGATTCGAAACTGTTACGCATTCTGTTCTTCGAGCTGCAGCGGGTCGATGCATGCAATACGAGTTCTAAGTTCCTAGAGTTTTGTTGCATAGCACAAACATGGGTGGCTTTCCAAACTCAATGCTAGATATGATATTCAAGCATATCCTCAATTCTGAATACAGTATTTTATTAGGTTCCCATTTCTGGTTTAGCAAACCTCTAAAACATTTGCTATGGACTGTCTTGCAAATTAGCTTATATGGTGATAACACAGAAGAAATCTGTGATAACATAAAAGGAATCTGTTACTCTCATTGAATAGCTATATGTAGAACAAGTAAGCTCTTATATATAAGCTACAGTTTAAGAAGTTGAAGAAAATTTAGAACTGAAAGGATATGAACTTGTGATGTGATAGAGGTGGAGTACGAAAGGAACTGGAGCAGAAGTGCATTGATTTCAGGCGTACAAGGCGCGAGGAATATTTTTTCTCTAAAAATCGACCAGCCCAAACACGCAAGAACTTCGCAACTTATGGACAATGTACCGTGCTGCGTATTGCCTAAGAGATTCGTGCAGCATAGGGATCGCTTTTCGTAACACAGTGAAGCGGCTGAGCGACTCGCCTGAAAAATCGAAAAAGATGTATAATATTAGGTCGTCCCAAAAGTATTTTCGCTTCTTTGAACAAGCGCCACAGTCCGCAGAACAAAGGTATACAGGAGCTCTTGGTAGCATTTGATGCAGTTTTTTATGCTCTTTCTGAGGGTCATCTCAGTAATGCAGATGATGCAACGAGCTCTCAGAAAATTGCTACAAACTGCAACTCATGCTTTTTACCAAGGTCAGGTTCAGCTATTTTTCTGAATTCTTGTACTAATTTCCCGAAAAAGACCAAGTGACCTGTCGATAGAGCAAACAAAGTAGGAAGCAATAAAATTTTTGTCCATTCCATAGCTTACTTTAAAAAATTTTTAGAATCAGTTCTTCGATGCTATCAATCTCCATATTTGGACAACTTAAACCTCATAGAACTGCAGCCGGCGAGCCCCGGAACGCTCAATTGTTTCGTAAAATTAGTGCTAAATTTTTATCCACTTTAAAAGTATCAAAAATCGAGAGTTTAGTAAAGTTTGACGAGTCTGCGTCTGGTATGGAACTTCTAAAATTCGACGATGTTGTCAAAATTCTGTCAAAAAGATGAGGAGCCCTGGGAAAAAGATTAAAACTGTTTTGTATCCTACTTTCTTTGCTCTATCCGCTGGTTGCTTGGACTTCTTCGGGGGATCAGTATAAGAATTTAGAAAAATAGTGGAACTTGACCTTGGTAAAAAGCATGGGTCGCAGTTTATCGCAATTTTCTGACAGCACATTGTTTCAGCTGCTAAGTAAGGATGTCCATTTGAAAGGGAATAAAACCTGTATCGAATTCTACCAAGAGTTTCTGTTAACCTTTGTTCTGCGGATTGTGGCGCTTGTTCAAAAAAAGCGAAAATACTTTTGGGACGACTTAATACTTTGTACGTGTGAAGTTAGGGTACTTATGATACCTCGATGATTTACAAGTCCGATACAGTTTTTCTAAATTTTTTCCAATGTTTATTTGAGATCTTGAAAACTTCAAGCGCCATTTAGAAATGCGCTGAGTTCAGCAGGACATCGCTTTCCTAAATTTGATTATTTTACAAGATTCCATTTTACATTTCGCAAAGATCAACCCAAATAATAACCCAGAAATAGGGCGGATCTGATAAGGTACGTCTCTTTTAGGCTTCTGCTTAAAGGCAGTGGCTCGGCAAATCCTGAACCTGAAGTTTTTCGCTTACCTGGGGTAATTCGACGCGTTGATTTCGGTACACTTGAAAGTGCACGAAATTTTTGAAAACCAGCATTTTCTAAGGGTTTCAAGTAAATTTGGCCGAGTGGAACACTTTCCGCCAGGTTAGAGACGTAGAGTTGTTGCGGCAACCTCATGCTCAAAGCACTGCGGCACGCCACCTGTGACGGTGAGAAGGGAACCGCAGGTTTGTCCTAGCGCACGCGCACAGGTTTGGAGGCAGTTTTCTAGGCAGGGGGCATGTAGTGTGATTGGACCTGCTTTTGATATTTGGGGCAAGCAATCTTCCATATCAAAATTTCGAAATGTATGGTTTTACCAAGCCACTGCCTTCAATCGTTTTCGATTTAAATATCAAGTCTTATGTCTCAGGAAAAACTCTTTAGCACAGTTTAGCCCATGGTTGCATCCGGCACCTTAAAAATGAAGGCGATTGAAGCGAATAATGCATGATCGGAGTTCGACAATAATCAAAAGTTGAATGCACAGCTGGAAAGAATTAGGGCTGTACAGATATCCGCCATTTATTCTTGCAAAATCTTAGTTTTCAAAAAATGATTTTGCATTGCGCGGGGTTAATTCAAAAGTCTAGGAAATGTTCCTCTTAGTGGGTTTTCGGCAGTCAAACAAATCAATGAAATGCAGACTATGGCGACCTTCCGAGAGATGTTTGTTGAGTTACAATGAAAACATAATCATTCCAAGGCAGATAAAAGCGGCATTGACTACCAAAAAAATCTTCTTGCTCTTCGGCTTGAAATTTCAATACAAGCAATCCGAAAAGTTCAAAAAAAAAAACTCTCAAATTTACTTCAAGGCATGTGCACGTCGCAATCTGGGCTCTTTTAAGTGGTATGATGGGAACAAAAAGAAAGTTTGAATTCAAATCATTATATCAGAAAAATTAGTTAGAGTCAGAAGACTTCGAAAAGTACATAGTCTTGAGGAGTTTTTGATATCCTTCGGAGAAATAACGGTTTACACACAGGACAACTGTAAATTTTTCCAACAAATATGGAATACGCGCCTCCAGCTTCAAAATAAGACTTACGAAAAATTGGATGTTGCTGCTCTAAAGAACTATAAGTTCAACATTCCGGTTATGCAACAGTGGCGGAACGGGGGGGGGGAGAATTTGCAGAAAATTTTCGCCTCTCCCCCACTCGGTTCGAACTGGGACTGTTATGCAAGTATACATGATGATTATCTTGGCTTGGGGTATCTTGACAAGGATGACTGCAGCGTTTAGTAGCCTTAGATCTGAAAACAAAATCGCGAGCAGTTTTTTTGGTAGTGCTGAATCAATTTGAATAATTTTGGCGTGCCCCAGGATCAACTCTTATTTCCAAAGTCATTTATCTTCCCATAAACTCAATGAAAAAGTTGTAAAAATGTGCTAAGGACATAATATGGCTCTGTTAAAAGTGTTTATGTTAGAAATAATTGAAATTACAAGATACTGAAATCCTCGATGATCTGCTCCCGAGATTATCGAAAAATTCACAATCTTCAGATTTCAGTTCTCCTGTCGAAAAATGCTTACGAGGAAATGGTCAGAACTTAATCTAGCCATTCTCAACAAACTGTGTATCATCGATCTTCTTAAAACGCTGACTTCAAAAATATGTTTTTTATCTGCCCAGCGACTATCTGGGGACTCTGATTATCTGCGTTCAAATATGAGGGATTTTTCGAGTTGCGACGAACAAATTACCTTGAAAGGCAACCTGATAGCGCGGAGATACAGTGGCTATGTATTTTAGCTACAGGGAAGAATCACAGTCACCAAAAACCTAAAAACGTGTTTGAAACCTATTTCGCAGAACATGCGAAACAGAACACTTGATAAATTGCACATCTCAACGCCCATACCTCTCAGATAGTCTCTTGGCAGATAATAAACACACATGCGTGATCAACGTGTCAAGACGAGTCCGATGATATACAGCATGTCTGGTATGGCTGGGTTAAGTTCTGACCATTTGCTGCTTAGCAATGCCGTAGTGTATCACCAGCACGATTCTTCAGCGTTTACGTTGAGTTCTCAGAAACATAAAAGACCTTAGAATGAGAGATCCCCTGGGACCCACGGATCACATAAAATAGTGAAAAAATCTAATCTTGTATGACAGTGTTCTAGCAACCATTATGCGCAGATGTCAGGGTCTGAGAAGCTTCTTAACCCAGACAGAAGGAAGAAGAAAGGTATCTAGAGTAGAGGGATATGACACGTCCCCTTTCAAATCTCCTCCTCTCCCCGCAGGGATGTACGTGCATACGGGTCTAAGATGAGAGCCTTCTTTTAATATCATTTCAAATTTGCAGAAAATAAACGGGAAAATGTCGCACATTTTTTGCCAATGTCGAGTATTGGCCAAGCTTGTCCATCGTAAGCGTGGTGCGAAGGTGTGTTCACGATTTTGTGCTTCATCGATATTTCTGCCCCCCCCCATCACTCATGCCGGAATGGAGGACCATGGGAAGTTGGGGTCTGGGAAGATACATGACAAGATCCCATAGGTGACACTGAGCAGAAGTAGAGCAGAGGGTTTTTTCGCTTGCGTTCTGCACATATTTCTGGATTCCCCAGGCCTGGTTGGGTTCATACTAATCTGTATCCAGAACAACTTTAGCACAATTCTTGCACGTGCTGGAACTGCTCCGCAACTGTGCTGCATGCGCTGCAGCTGCCCGCAAGCGTTCTGTCCATTTTCGTCTCATTTTTGCACCTTGCCTCTTCTTGTGATGAAGAGATTTCCGAATTCGAAGCGAGGTTCGAGAATGAAACTTTAACATGTTTTGAAGTGCGTGAAAGATGTAATTTCTTTTACGCGTTCCTTCTACTCCCGCCTTCGTGAATCTTCTGTAGAACATTTTTTTCTATTTCAGAATGTCGTGCGTCCTCCACATCACAAGCTGTCTTTAGAAAGGATAGATACTACATCACATTTGCGGAAATCGCGGATTTTTCTTCGTGTGTTGATGAAATTTGGTCTTCGGACGTCTCAGGCACATCTCCTTTGGCAACCACTCAGACAATCGCCGGGGGCAGGCGGGCACCGGAAAAATAGATTGCTGATCTCTCGCACGCCGCTCGCGGTTTTTTGGAAAGCAATCAGGACTTTTTGGAAGACCGCTTGCTGAGTTCTTGATTCCTCAGAGATTCAGCAATATATC